CCCCATGTAGAGAGCATTGCAATAGAGAAAAAGGGCTTTGCCTAATGTTAAACATGGGTAGAATAAAACTTGCTGACAAACAGATTTACTATATTTATATTCTTGTCTTTCAGTATATACTAATCTTTACTTTTTAAGCAACACAGACAATTATAAATAAACATATGATGTATTATTAAAAAGAAAGAAACAAAAATATGTCCTACATGGCTGTTGAATGTAATTGAAATGCTAAGATTTGGGAGGATCTTTCATTTGATTACTGTTAAGTTTCATCTTAAATACCAAAGTCACTTGGAGAAGATTTCTGAAAATCACACTATACTGCTACTCAAGTTATACAACAGAATTCATATAAACCTTGAGTTTGACTTTCATAAAAAAAACTGGCTAATGCTGCTTTACTTTGCAGTACAGGTAGTTCTCGACTTACAATCGTTAGTTTAGTGACTGTTTGAAGTTACAACAGTACAGAAAAAAGTGACTTATGAACTGTTTTTCACATTTATAACCATTGCAGCATCCCCATGGTCACATTGTCAAAATTCAGATGCGTGGCAACTGGAATGCATTTATGAAAATTGCAGTGTCCCAGGGTTATGTGATCACCTTTTGCAACCTTCTGACAAGCAAAGTCAATGGGGAAGCCAGATTCATTTAACAACCATGTTACTAAAAAAAACTAGTTAAGAAATGCAGTGACTCACTTAACAGCAGCAAGAAAAGTCATGAGGCAAAACTCACTTAATAACTGATTTGTTTAGCAATAGAAATTTTGGGCTCAATTGTTATCATAAGTCAAGGACTACCTGTATATTATTTAACAACTAGTTCATTAAACATTAATTGGAATACGAACTTTGACAGATTTTGCTTAATGATCTTTTAAAAAAATACTTTATTTCAGTGCTTTCTGAATTCGTAGTCATTTAAATAGATAGGCACTTTGTAACCTCATTTTATTCCCTAAATAAAACTATCTAACAAAGAGAGGGGAAAAAGAAACTTCCTTGGGGGAACAATCTCTTTTACTAGGGGTTGTGGTAGTTTGTGGAGATGCACAGCTTGTTTATATGAGGAGATGGCCATATTTTTACTGTTTTTATATGTTAGCTACTAAAAATCATTGGAGATGGACAGTCAAAAAGTAATGCAAAAAAGGTCAGTTTGCCAAATAATATTTGGAAATGTATGCAGAAATACTTCCTTCTTTTGATCCATATTTATTTGTTATGATGGCCGTGTTGGAAACAAAGAATACTTTATTGCAGGTTTCAAGGAAAGAAATAGAGTCAAAATAAACATAATTTTAAAATAGCAAGATTCGTATAAATACAACAAAAGAAACATAAATTAATATGTCACTTTTTTTCCCTAAAATGCTTTTACTTACTAAATTATCCGTTTCTGGGTCTTCACAAAAAAAGGGTTTTCCTTCCTTCTCCTGTTTCCTAACAAAGTTTTCAATATCTACATCGAAACTTGCAGATGTTGTGCCTTCTGAACCCTGTGTAGATTGTTCACATTTTTCAAATAACAGTGCTAATAAGGGAAACAGTGGGTGCCTAGGAATTAAAGATGAGCAAACTATAAGACTGTAGAAATTCTCTAAGTCAATATGACAAAATATGTATAATTTAGACACTGCATAATAATAAAATAAATTACATTAACAATTAAAATGTTACATATTCATGGCTAAAGTAACCTGGAATAGAAAACTGATCTTTTATTTACTGTTTAAATCTACTTGTGCATTGTCGGGAAGAAACTATATTGCATTCTCAAGTGTAAACTTATTTTTTATTGTTATTTACTATTTTTTTTTCATGTTCTAAGCACCAAGAGTTTGCTCATGATTGTGGTGAGATACAAATATAATGAATATGAACATTTTAAAATCTATATTAAAACAGAAACTCTTAATCTGAAATAAAGATCACAAAATCTTACTTAAATAAACAGAATATGCACTGCTATCTTTCGCTAGTTCAGTAAGTTGCCAGTCTCACTTTAATAGAACTTACTGTATTATAAAACATGCAGAACACTGACTTAAGTATGTAATAAAATGGCTGAAAACATATATCCGACTTAATCAAGAACTCAAAATATATAAAGTTTGTTGGTGCGCTTGCTATTAAATGTTTGAGTTCAAGTAGCTATTTAAGTACTGATTCTACATTGTGTGTGCACTTGGATCGGTACTTATTCTATACCACGTAATTTTATACTAGCATTGTATACAGGTATACCTGACCTCACCCAAGAAAATAAAAAAAATAAAATTCTCAACTTTGGCTACAGTGGTGAAACACAGAAGAGTTTGGATACTGAAAGGAAGAAGGCTTCAGAATCCTATCCTCTTATTGAGTTTTGTATGGTCTCTTTCAACTGTGATTTCCTACTACATCCCAGAAACTTCACCCTTAGTTTGAGAACAATCACTCTACAGATTAAAGACAGTAATATATTTTACCACTTAGATTGGTCAACAGTACTACCTGTAAATAGCCTGCTTGTCTGCATCCATCGGTGTCTGAGATTCAACTGGGGAAGGGCTCAATCCTCCTGCATTTGTTTCTAAGCAGTTTGGATCCTGCTCAGTTTTTAATTCTGTTACTACTTGCATTTGCTAGAAAAGAAAGATGCTTTATATTACCAGCTGCACTGAAAATGGTTTGTTTTCCAAGCAAAGGGGAGAGCAAAGAGCCTACTAAATGGCCAGAAAGTTGGTATGACTTGGCAACTGTACAAAAAGTACAAGCAGTTAACAAAAATAAATAGATGGATATAGACATATGATCTTTCTTATATCTTTTCTCAGTAAGTAATTGTGGTTGATCATAAATTGAAGATTTAGGCAATGATAATATAACAGACAGATCTGTTAACAATCTTTCTGTATCTTGCTGTTGACATACAAGTATATCATTCCTAAAAAAGTTGCGTGCACTTCTCCATACAATCAGCTGGAATCAAACTCAAGTGTTATTTTTTATGTTACTATTATATGTACATATATACACAGGTCAAAAACATAAAAAGTTTAAATATCCTTCCAATTAAAAAACTTTAATTACGATAAATGTTTCAGATTGGCACAAATCTATTCCTTTGTTAGGACACAGTATGTGAAAATTTTTGGAAACTGATTCAATCAGTTAATAAATAAACAGTTTAACTACGCTAGCTAATTGACATGATCTGGAATTTTGCATATATGACCGTTGACTTTTTTTAATTTCCCCCCTTATCGCTCTTTCCCCTTATAAACTCTTTTTTATATCTATAGCTTCAAGCGATTTAATATGGGAATTCTTTGTTAAAATCTTCTCCATGTACAACTTTGCATAATAACACAATTATGCTTGTATTTCAACATTGGCGTAAGGTTTGGAATTGGGCAGAAAAATTCAAAGAACATTTCTTTCTACTTACCTAGGGATTCATTAGTAGAAACTGTAGGATCTCCTTAGCTGAATGTGTTAGGACAGACATGTCAAACTCAAGACCCGTGGGCCAAATCTGACCTGCAATGGGCCCAGATCCAGCCTGTGGGGCTTCCCCAGAGATTGTGAGGAACTGGCTCTTGCCACCCCGGCCCACCTTAGCTGGGTGCCTCACCAGACATGCACACGGGAGGCGCCGGGCCCTCAGCAACCGCACCTTGGGACTCCATAGCCCACACAGTGCAGGTAGGTCCGAGCGCCATTGCCACTGGGCTGGCCCTCCAAGCAGCAGGCAGAGGCATAGACACAGAAGGAAGCACACAATCTGGCCCGCTGGACATGCTGGATGCCCCTCCACCCAACCGCCCCATCCCTGCAGCAGTGGCTGTGGGCAAGCAAAGACAGACGGTGGGGTTGCAAAGAAGCACCCCAGCCAGTTGCTGTCACCACCATGCTGTGACCCCTGCCCACTTGGCCTCCGCCGTCCAACCTCATCCTCCAGCTCCAACCCACACATGGGACAAGCCTCCCATCTGCTGCCAATCCCCCGACAGCCCCGGAGAACAGGAAGGATGGGGAGCCCTCATCCACAAGAAGCAGCCGGAACTCCCCTCCCCGCTCTGCCCCAAGTCCAGCCCCGAAGCTACCCCATGCACACTGCACCCGTGCACCTTGGGGCCATGCAACCAGGCCACCCCACCCCCTTCCTTGCCAGGCCATGCCCACCCCTCCACCTGCCTCGGCCTACTGGCAGTGGAGGGGCAGGGAAACACTGTTTGCGTGCTGCTGGTGGTGGTGCTGGCAGTGCAGGGGTGGCAGGGCCGGCTACTGGCAGTGTGTAGAGGGTTGAACAGTGGGGACAGGTGGTGGGGGCAGTAGCTGAACCAACCTTAGGTGTCAGGCCAAAGTCCACGTGCGGATGCAAGAACATGGGGGTGTGTGTGAAAATGGGAAGCTATCATGGTAATAGACAAGCAGCAGTGGGCGGGGGCTTCCCATTTTGGCCTCTACACACTGCCATTGCCTCTGCACCTGGACTCCAGCCTAAAACCAAATGGCAGTTTGGCTGCCCCCCACTATGTGCCACAACCATTCACGTCCCCACCACCAGCAGCAGCACTTACCACCGATGCCTTGCTGCCCCCCCAGCCATGCCCACCTAGTTGTGGCGACCCGACTCTGATCATGCAACCACGCCCACCCAGCCACATTCAGCTGGCCCTTTGAGGGCAACCATAATGTTGGTGCAGCCCTCAATAAAATTGAGTTTGACCCCACTGTGTTAGGAGGTTCAGGCTAATGGATGGCAGCCTATTATTATTATTTTTGGAAGAAGGGATGTGCCAATGAGACTTAATTAAGCATCTCTCTTAGTTTGTAACACATTACAAATCCAAAGATATTACAGCCACTAATAGAAATCCAATCTTTTTACAGGGCAAAAAATAAAAGTGTTATTTTTCCCTGAATATTTAAGGCAAGCAAAAGAACTTAAGTCAGCAGAGACAAGTTCCAGTCTGGTTCCTAACATCTATACTTCAAATGATTATTAGGAAGTTCTGCCATTCAGATTCCACCTTGGTTATATTCACACTTCATGCCTACTTAGTTTTATTTTACTTTATTTTATAATCAACAATATATTATTAGAATCTGATTGACTCTTTTTGCTTCTGACAGTGAGAAGATTCAAACAACTGCAGAAAGTCTTTCAAAATATAATGAATGAATTTGGATTCTGGATCTTTAACCCCTTCACAATCCAATGTTGAGAAGAAATATTAATTGGCTTTTGATCCTTAGTTGTTCGGCAAAGAAAACTATAAAATCAATTCGCATATTATACTAAACCAGAAAGCATTCCATGTAATCTGTTTAACCATTCCTATCAGCAAGAAGAGTGAAGTAGACTGAGCTTATTTAACCTAGATTCATGAAGAGATAATACCCAATTCTGAATCCATGAACTTTGTAAAAAATGGATAATGTATAAGTCAGAAGCATGATTTCTGCATACTAGAGATAATCCATATCATATGAACTTTTGGAAAAAATGTCTTACTTGTTGCCCATCTTGATAGTTGTCTATACTTAATGTCTGCGTTGCCATCATGGTTACTGAGAATTGCTTTGAAGTCAAATCATATCTTACATCAATTTTTTTGCTGAAAAGAAACCATAAAGAATATTAGTATTTTTAAAGAAAATTATAGAAATATTGAAATCTGTATACAGTTGAAAAATGTATTCTTTCCAATAACATTACATATGCTTGTTACCATCATAAAATACCGATAATCATAATTTTCATCCAAATTGCACATGTGTTTTCAAATGCAAAATAAATAGAAATGTACCACAAAAATATCTGGAAGAAAATAAAACCAAACTTTTCGGAATTTGAAAAATGCTCTTTTAAATTATTCTCTGTTGAATGAATATGGATACTGGTCCAGTCATGGGATCAGATGATTCTTTTTAAATCCCTGTTAGCACACTAGTGTACACTTTTTCTATCTGAAAACTGTTCAATGGCTAAACCAAGGCACAAGGATTAACTTCATAATATTTCTCACACACAACCACAAATGCTTGTATTTATCTGTTGTCACATTTACAGGCAACCACCCATCTATAACTATCTTAATTCTTCTCTCTCACATTCATCACATCCTTAATTTACAAAAAATTGATTTACACATCTAGTCCAGTTGTATATTTTTCCCATGTGGTTTTGAAAATAGCCATGTACAGGCTAGAAGTAGCCATTTTTGTTATGATAAGAGCATTTTTTTCAATCACCAGTTTATATCTGTGTGACTTATATGGATGAGTCAGTCCACAGAATCTTTGATGATACCTTAAATTATTATGTATACTATAATAAGAATAGGCAAAATATGTGGTTTTTCAAAAAATTGAAGAAAATATGCAGAAGTAGCCTCATGGAAATATTCTATGTAAGGTAATATAAATTGGTTTATATTTTGTATTATAGTTTGTATCCAATAATGGTGATGGTAAAATAGCTTTCTTCACTTTGCTTTATACATTTTCAAAAACCTCCAAAGTTCTCAAAAGTAAAGGAGCATTGGAAGGAAGCAAGAATCTTCAAGGGTTCTTTTGCTCTGCCATTGACATTCAATAGATATAGAGGTTGGAAACAAAACAAAGCTTCCTGATAATTGTATCTCTTTGACAGTATTATATTTCTATATAATGAAGTTCTCTCTTTTAAAAACTGTTAAATAATTATCTGACTGTGAAGCAAATTGTCCTGCATTTAACAGTTTTTAAAAGAGAGAACTTCATTATATAGAAATATAATATTGTTAAAGAGATGTATTATCAGGAAGCTTTTTCATCTATACCCATCAAGTGAAAGATATTGTCTGTGTCAATACCCATCACTGTAGTACCATTGTTTCTCAACTGGATCTCTCTCCAAGCTGGCCATTGAGCCTTTCAGGGTGAGTCTTCTTTCTTTCTGTGATGACATTATTGCCTTATTCTCAAAACAACAGGATATTAACTGCTGAAACTAGAAGGATTTAAATAAACCTGCCCTGTATTTTTAAATGTTGCATGGAACTATAGTTCAAACAAATCCTTTTTATGAGGATCATGATGCTTTAAAAAAAAGAAAGAAATAAGTTCTAGTGGTGAAAGGGATAAATATATCAATTAATATGTATCAGCATAGAAGAATATGAGCAAATTATCACATAGCACTTCTCTATTTTGAGGGCTCTCTCTGGAGACATTAATAGAAAAATCTTGCAATTGCAATCTTTAGGTACAGAGATCTGCAAGACATTACACTGAAAATAATTTGGTTGATGGCTAGTAAAGGAAATTCCAGGAGTCAGGACCAGCGGAATTTGCTCATTGGATTATTTTTGATAGAATAACTCTGATCAGCAAGGTATTGGTTGTGGGGTTTCTTTCTTGTAGTAAGATAAATAGTGCTTACCAATCAATGCTTTCCCCTCTTCTTAGCAAATAACTTCCAGCTTTTCAATTACTTATCATACTACTCCTCTGATATTCATTTCCTGGGAAGGGTATGCCTAAGTAAGTAGCAGACCAATTTTTATTTAGTTGAATTAATTATAACCATAGAAGCAACAATTACTTTTTAACTATTTGACACTTCTAGTAAAATAATCTGTGGAAATACAGGCACAGAAGTTTGTCTCTAGTGGAAGAAGAAAAAACAACAACCAAGCAGTACATAATTTCCCCCAAAATTCATATTGGAATATTGGTCAAATAAAAATGTTTATGGAAAAATAAAACATGTTACAATAGAAATTATAGACTGAAAAAGAATTAGAATATAACAGAAGGGTAAAAAAAATATTAGGAAAAGAAAAAGGTTTGCAGTTTTACATTTTTTTATATATTTAGAGAAACAGGAAAAGAATGGTGAAATAATATGCATGCAACTTTTGATAGTTTCAAAAGTTAAATTAAGAAAAATGCAACATATAAGACAACACCATCATATTTGGAGAAAATAATTCATATGCCTTTGCATGAGCGGAGAAATAAGAAAAGCAGATTTAAATTATTTTCATTAACAAAGAAAGCATTTTCAAAAAATGATGTATTTTATAGTTCAGTCATAACTTATAATTTGAATTCTAAGTAGTACTATGTTCACAAGAAAAAAGAACAAACTTGAAATTAGTTCCATAATTATATTTTTAAATTTTTAATTCACTTTCTGATGACAAATCTTAACACAAAAGTATCTGAATGTGTTGTTAAAAGCTGAGTTGAGCTTGAAGACCTTAGCTAACATTTGATAATGACTCATAACTAGTATGTGACTGTAGGTGTTATGGGTCCACTAATATCATCCAATGTATTTCTCCAACTTTATTGTGAGCCAGTTGCTTTTTTTCTTTTGGGTTGAATCTAAAATTTGTTACATCATCTTCCTGGAACAGATTGCTGCATTTTACAACCAACAGGAGGTGATTTTCAGTGGAAATGAGCATGGAACTATGCAGATTTCTGTGTTTTTGAATTTCATCCACCATCATAGGTTGGCTGCTGCGCCATTCTTTGTCTCATCTACTATTTTATCATAGATTGAAATATTAATATTTTCTGTAGGCAGAACATTTGGAAAATTCTGCACCATGCAGCAAGAGCATCAGTAGTATTAGTGATCAATAAACAAGCATATTGGTAATAATGCTTCCGCTGCTTTTTTTTTCTTGCCAGAGGCACTATGTCAATGCTTCATAGGTTGAGGCAGCTTAGCCAATTTGAGAATCAAAGTATTAAAATTGTTCAAACTTTGCTTCATCAAAGTGGATGGCAAAGACTTTTAGTATGAGTGTGTGGATCATTAAACAGAAAGGAAGATGTAACAGTACTCCACTTCACTTCAGTACATACAGGCATTTCACCATGAACAGAATTTCATGATTCCTCGTACAGCTGCTTCTGGAGGCTATTTTAACAAGTTTATCTTCTGCAGTTGGTGCCGCTGAAATGCACTTTCAAATGCTGTGGCGAAGTCAAGAAACAGTGATGAGCCTCTTTTCACACCTGATATGTTCTCCAACAATTGTTGTGATATACATATTTGGTCACATCTGTTCCAAGCCAGAAACAATCTGGTTCTTGGAGTAGTTGTTTTCATTATGAAACTTTTTTTGGATTACTGCATTTTCATAAATATCTTACCCTCAAATGACAAAAGACTAATAGGGTTCTTCTTAATTATAGTAATATCCTATTTTTTTTAATGCTGGTTTACTATTGTAAATTGGTGTGCAAGAATTAGTGTAGCAAATAGTAGAATTTAAGAACAGTGTAGACTATCCAGCTAAGAAGAAACATGTTTTATACTTTTCTTTCAAAAACCGTAACTTGTAGTAACTGGGTTCATCCACTGAACCAAACCAGACTTTTTTTTTTATCAGTAGTGGCAGAATAAAATAATATTGGACCGATTTTTCTACAATGCTAAGCCACAATTAGTGGATTCACATATTACTGCAGTAAATCCTAATATTATAGTATAGTGTGATTATGAGCCCACAGAATGCAATGAATTAAATGCTTCCAAATGTAACAAGGTCTTTGTAATTATGAAAATTACTAATATTATATTTATGTTGTGCATTTATATGAATATATGTCACTTTGTCTTTAAATGTTCACTTAAATATTTAATATTTTTTTAAAAAAATTCAACGTACTGTGTTTTAATGCTACTCAAAAAACAGCTGTAATTGTTTTTATTCGGAGAAAGTTATTTTCCTTGACACAGTTTAAAAGTTTATAATACTGAATATGTAGGTTTTTCTTATAAAATATCATGTAATAAATTCTTTCTATGTATTCAACATAGCAAATATAAGTTAGTAATGCCTGCCTACAATTATGTATTTATTTATTTGCATTTACAAACAAGTCAAGGTGGTGAACATATTCAATGCACCTTCTTCCTCTTATTTTTCCCTGCGAGGTGGGCTGGGTTGAGAGAGAGTGACTGGCACAAAATCACCCAAGTAGCTTTCATGGCTAAGGCAACATTTGAACTCACTTTCTAGCCTAATGCCTTAACCACTAGACTATCTTGCTACTATTATCATACCTCTTATCTCTTACACAGTTACTAAAGTATAAAGAGACTGTCAGTTGAATAATTTATTATAAGAAGCAATTACCTATAAATTCATTATCAGTGATATGTAATACAGTATAAATATTACTTGTAAGCTATATTTTAAGTATTATAGTTTTAAATTAAACCTATACAGTGAGATGAGTAGTTCTGTAACAACTTTAAATATATATATCATTAAAAGAATGTGAATAAAAACTAAATCTCACTAATGTGGAACATAAATTTAAACTAATATTGTCATAACTCTAAAATCTATTAAATTAATATCCAGCCTTTTATTCTGAAGCAAAGTTTTGTTTATTTATTCAATTGATATGGCTACCCACTTGACATAGTATTCTGGACAGCAAACAGCTGGTTGAAAATAAAAACATCAACAAAAACACATTACACCTGGATGTTCTACTCTTGAAGCAGCATTCATATCCATATCATTGTAACTCTCCCCACCCCACAAAGTGGGTGGATACATGGATAACATTGGTCCTGCAAGTAACAAAATCCTGTGCCATGAAGAGAGTAGTAGGTGACAATCAGCACTTTGAAATACACCCAATAAAATTACCTTATGTCAACATTCCAGATAGAATTGTAAACAATTAGATATAGATTCCTATTCCGAAAAACTATTACATTGTTTTAAAAACCAGCCAGTATTTCTGAATCCTTAAAAGAATTTACATTTTGCATAATTTAAGAATTTAGGCCAAAACACCTCGTTATACATGTGATCCAAATTAAACTCATTTATTCATTCCACAAAGCACTTTGCCTTATTGGCTATCCCAGAGGAAGCACATTTTGTGCATGAACACACATGTCCAGATCTCAGGAGAGCCACTTAGTAGCCATACCTGGATCTGTTTCTTGAAGTTGCAGCTGTTCCAAAAAGCAGCTGCTTTGAAGTGCTCAGAATACATACATCTCTGCTGGGATGGCAGATGAAACAAAGCAGAAAAGTGTCTTGTGGAATGATTTTCAGTACACAATTAAACAATTTTGACTTTATTAGTGGGATGGATGCAACACAAAGCACACAACTATGTTTCTTTCAGAGAGAATAGCTGATAGTCTTGTAAGTGAATTATACTTATTCTATTTGAATAGGAATCTACAGATTATAAACAATGCCAAAGCAAGTTACAGGTAGTCCTCAACTTACAACCATTCATTTAGTGACTGTTCAAAGTTACAACAACACTTTAAAAAGAGACTTAAAACCAGTTTTCACACTTATGACCATGGTCACATGATCAAAATTCAGGCACTTGGCAACTGGCATGTATTTATAACAGTTGTCCCAGAGTCATGTGATCACCATTTATAACCTTCCCAGTCGACTTCTGACAAGCAAAGTCAATGGGGGAAGCCAGAACGTTATTCACCTAAAAACTGTAGTGATTTGCTTAACAACTGTGGCAAAAAATTTGCAAACTGAGGCACAACTCATTTAACAACTGCCCCACTTAGTAATAGAAATGTGGGGCTCAATTATATTGTAAGTCAAGGACTACCTGTACTTATACCTTCTTCAAGGAATTAAATACTTTCATTAGCAGAAATACAAATTGTTACAAGAAAAAGAAATTGTGTAATTTGGTTACTTTTTATTTTGATGCTGCCATTATACAGTATCATGTTTGTGATAGATTACTTATATGTTAGTATATTATGATACTGTTCAAGCAGTTCATTTAATGGATTTTACTTGGCAATAAATTGCTACTGCTTCAGCAGTTCTTGTTCCCAAATGAGCGCTAAATACAGCATTTATAAAATGATATGTCAAATCATAATCTGATTCAAGAAACCAAGATTTGAACATTTGTGCTCAATTCTCTTTGACTAGAATATTTATGTTCTCATTTACACATCATCCAGCTAACAGAATTATCTGTGTGATCCCAACTTGAATAACCAATAGTCCAAGTAACTGAATCTTGAATAATTGCCTCAAATCTGTAACTAAATTATGGTTTAAAAATATTTTATATTAACATTGAATGTAAAGTTGAAAGTAATGACAGAAAATTACATTATTTTAATAAAATATCACAGGCAGGTAGTGTACACAGGTACTACGTGATGTCAATTATAATTCCTGAAAGAGTAGCTGCAAAATTGTAATTTTTAAGAGGGTAGGAAAATTACAATTGGAATGTAACCATTATACCGCTGAGGGTTTTATTTTAATTAAATATAAGTAAAAAATTGCTTTTTGGATGTGGTTATCAGCATACTACTCAAATACCAAATGTAAGGCCCATTCAAAACATGCTTTATACAGAGCATTAATAATAAAAAAATGAGGCCAAGTAACTGAAACATTTAAAAGAATTTCAATTTTTGTCTCAAGCAACAAGTTACAATAAAATAGTGTTGCAAAAGGATACCAATGTATCATTTCCTTGTACCTTCATTCATAGCCCCATTGCCTTGTAATTATAACCAAGTCTTTAATATACCCCTAAAATAGTTAAAAGTTTGTGACTCTTAGTCAAATAGTTAATGCAAATTGCAAACTGTGGAACTGGAACAGGGACTAGAAAATAAAAGTATATTTCCGGATGAACAATTATTTTACAATATGAAAATGACTATTCCTAATATAGTGAGGTAGGGTCGAAGCGAAAAGCAGTAAGACAAACAAATATAAAAATAGCAGGAGTAACAATAATTATATTAAAACCTTTATGCCACTTGACTCTCAACAACTGGACAGTTCACAACAACCGAAGAAATGCATCACTTTTTATTGTTTATTATTAGATTGATACCCTGTCTTTCAAAATCAATTCTCAGAAAGTTAATGGGAATTCAATTGAATTATTGTCCTATTATTTAGAACTGCCAATTTACAATTTGTTAGAGCTTCAATATTGCTTTGCTCAGTGAAGTCAAAAATACATTCCAACATGCAATCACAGTTTACTATTCTATGTAGGCATTATATCACTGAAATTGTGATGAAAAGAGCCATTTCTAGCCAACGCTAAACTAAAATACAATGGTAACTGTAGCTCAGTAAAATTACCCATCCCTACAAGCCTCATTTCTTACTACATTCATCTGAAGTATTTACCAGGACATTTAGCATTATGCAGCACTTTGAATTCAATACCCAAGGTTTTTTTGTTTTTTTTAAATGCACCAAATGTAGTATCTGTCTGCAACTTTTTTGCATTAATCCCAGGAAGATACATCTGTTTATAATGTTGCAAATTGATGCTACATTTCATTTTCACACATTCAAAGCACCTACTGAAGATTGAATCTGAAGCATTTCATGACCCTATTCAGCATCCTAAACATTTTGGTTTCAAGACTTTATTCTAGCATTTAGCATCAGAAGATTAAAAAATGCCCATGTGTGACTCAATGTTTTCAAGAATGGAGGATTTCTTCAGCTTCATATATATTCTTGGTGCCTCCGGCCTCCACTTTTCTATCAAAAGATGAACCCAATTGTCACCAAGATTTCAGGAGCTACTGATGAACAATTAGGTAAGATTACTTGAGTAAGAACTTGGTTATAATGCCCTGTATTATTCTCCCAGCTGAACAAAATTTATACAAAATTAGATAACACACACCCATCTACTACATTTATGCATATTAAAGTTCCATTTTTTTTCAAGCAGAAAAAAAAATTGTGGTTTGAAACAAGTCTTTGATATTTTAGCATAATGTTATACTTCCAGTAAAAACTGTAGGCATGTGCAATTTTCATGTGTGCAATAAATTGCAAATGACATTTGATTATTAACATTCTATTAGGTAAATTTCCAGATTTGCACCTAGCATTTTACATTATCGCGAATCCTTCAAAATCTGTGCTTAAACTAATTCTGCAGCCTTATTTATATCATTGCTGTTTTTGGTGCTCAAAATCAAAATAAAGGGATCTAAAACTTCAAAGTGCCTTATCGGGGAAAAGGTTCTTAGTACAACTTTGCAAGATACAGTTTGTTCACTCGTTTAAATGCTTACTGTTGTAACTAATGAAGTGGAAAACTAGCATTCTTTTTCAAGTTGCAACCTTCAGCTATCACAATAAACACGGCTAGTGGGTATTACAAAATGTTAAACCAATATCCAACAGGGCAAGAAGTACACATTATCTGCTCACATACTCAACACTTAGTACTTGAATCAAAAGAATATTTCGTATGTCCAGTTTTGCCAAGCTCTGGCATTAACGTCACTTAGTGCCGTTTTCCATTTAGCCAGGGGATACAAGTTCGTGGGATAGATAGATATATTCCTGATTTTTCCATGACTGAAAACAGGTCGCTAGGCAAACCCCCAAAGACGGCTCAGAAACAAAGCGGAGACAGAGCTCCCCTCCACGTTTATTGTTGACAACCAGATTACATAACAACAATCCCCTCGGATTTCCCAACATTTCACTATGAATCCCCCCCTCCGTCAATTTACGGAGGGAGATTATTTCAAGCTCCGAAAAGGGAGCTGTGAAGCTGTGGAAGAACGGGGGGGGGAGCGGGGAGGGCTTTTCTCTCACGCCTAGGCGAGAACAGACTGAGGAGCCCGAGCGCGTTGGAAAAAGAAGCGAGTGAGGAAAAGCGGCTGTAGGGGGGAAACCCCGCGGATTGTTCAATTCCTCTCCTGCTTCTCCAGGTCTACAGGAATGCCCCCGACACGGCCCCTTTAAATACCGCCCTCGCGGCTCCCCCACCCGCCCACCCGCCGCACCACGAACAGCTGCTGCCCTTTCCTCTCTCCCCCTCCCACCTCCGGGCGCGCGCCACCTCCCCTGCCTCGGTGCGCGCGCCGCCGCCGCCGCCTCCTCCTCCTCCTCCTCCTACAAAAGCAACGGCCAGTCGGCGGCTGTTCCAGAAACTTCCTCACTCCCCCTCCCTTTCCTTCCTCGCTCCAGACCGCCGACGCCCCTAACCCCCCTCCGAGTAAGTTACGGTGCCTATGCCCTTAATCCCGCTTGTCCATGTTGCGGGTTCGCCTCCCCCCCTGCCTCCCGCACATCCCGGATCTGTTGGCGCAACTGAGCCAAGCCGGCCGATACTGGTGGCGGGCGCGCCGTGATGGATGGCTGGCTGGCTAAGAGCAGGTTTGAGTGACAGCGCTTACCTGGGTGCCAATCTTCGTCACACTGACAAGCGGCTGCAGCAATCGGGACCCGCACCGCCGCGACGTGTGTCAGCACGCATACACGGCCTCGGCCAATTGCAGGGCGCGCCGGGCGAGACGACAACACGCTTCGAAAGACGCCTCATCAATATTCAGCAAGGGAGCGGGGCACGTCGGGCTTTTAGATACGCCCACTCAGAGGAGCGCCATAGTGAAGGGGCGGAGCGGCGAGGGAAGTACCGTCCCCTTGGGCCTGGGCGCGAGGCTGAATTGCCTTTATGAATACCCATTAGGTTGGGGGGAGGGTGCCACCCGCCTCTCTTAGCTTGAGAGATGGAAGAGGTTTCCTAGTATCGCCGCTGCGGATTTGATGGATAAAGCTCATAAAACCTCCGTTCCGGGCCGAAGGCGCTTGTGACGTCATATCATGGTGTTTCCCCCCCCCGGGTGATCCTGATGGACTGGAATGCTGTTCCGGATGGCTTCGGTTCGTTTTGTTTGTGCCGTAGACCTCTGTTCTCCTGAATTAAAAGCTCGTATTATTTTTCCCCCTAATACTGAAGTCATCTTAGTATATATATATATATGGGCAGGTCGAAATCTCCCTCCATTCAGAATTCTGATAGTCATCGGTAATTGGGGTATTTGCTGCTATTTTTGTTCGGTGCATTCGCCCTTCTTTGGATGCATTCGCAACTGACTGTTGCTTGGTTTCGTATAACATAAACCAACGAGACTGGTTTGGTTTCCCTAATACATTCCCGTATTCTAAGAATCCCATTGCAGAGTTTGAAGAAGAATGGTTCCAGAAGATTACAGCTCATTCTTTCTAAACGAAGTCCTTCTGCACCCAGTTATAGCTAGGTGTAGAGCTATAAATATTTGTAAAAATTCGGTTGGTAATGGCAAAACTATAACACTTTTGCAGTACTTCCAAAGGTTAATTTGTTAGGTATTGGTACAAAACAATATAAGAGTAAATGCAGATATGCACTAGCTTCAAATTTAGAAGTGTTATATACATTTTTCAGGCTATGATAATCTAATTCAAGGCAAATACATACATTGTCTAATATTGCCCACTCATCAAATACTATTTGACAACTATACTCAACAGTTAACTAATACTTGTATGGAACACACACACACACAAAATTATATTCTTAAAATAGTATTGTATAGTGATTATATGGTTTCCCCTTTTAAAGTATTGAAAACTGCTTAAAATTAAATAGTATGGTATAATTTCATTTACATATGTTTTTAGTGTACATAAGGCTCATATAAAAGTGAGAATTTTGTGGAATCCGTTCTTTTTTACCACTCTCATTTTTAGTACAAGAAAAGGAGAATAAAAATAACCAATTCCTTAACTGAAACAGGTAGTCCTTGGATTATGACCATTCATTCAGCAATAATTCAAAGTTACGATGGTGCTGAATGAGTGGTACTTAACAACTAGTCCTTGAAGTTCTATACGTTGCAGTAACTTCACAGCCAAATGATTGCAGTTTGGGTACTTGGCATCTTGATCACATTATTGTTGCACCATCCCATAATCCCATGATCACCATTTGAAACCTTTCCTGCTGGCTTCCCCATTGATTTTGCTTATGGGAAGCCAGCAGAGAAGGCCGTAAGTGGTTCCTATAAGCTGCTGCTTCTGCTTTTTCTCCCAAGAAGCTCTACTACAGAGTATGAGATCAACCACAAACAGCATCCCCTGCTAGCCTGTGATCCCCAGTGTCCCACCTGCACTCTGTAGCATCCACCTAGAGAGCCCACTAATCTACCTGCATAGCAATTGCCCATGAACACTCCCCCCACACACACACCTGTGGCATCTGCACACCATCCTGTGCTCCTTGCCTGGGATCCCTGCCTCTTCCTGCTTAACGACCTGTGCAGTCCTGGGAACTGAATGGAAACTGGCATTGCCAGGATTGCCATCGTTAAGCGACGTCCTATGATTCACACTTTGTGACTGCATCACTTAGTAACAAGTCCCGGTCCCAATTGTTAACATAACTTAAGGACTATCTGTACATTCTTTCCTGCCTGTTTTAGTTGTTCACCATACAGAAACTGTTAGTGTGAATGAAGCATAAATCTTGTTATCTTCTATTGTCTATGAAAAAAGCAATCTTTCAAGTTGAATTTGATTCCTTGTCACTTTATGCATATGCCTATATAGGAGGAAGCCTCAATTAACAATAACTTAGTTGACGTCCATAATATCCCAATAGTTCTTATGTTTGTCACAAAAGTGTATCAATTCTAACTATCTGAAATAAGAGATTATTCAGTAACTAAGTGTTTGAAGTTATTAATTCCTGCATGTTCAAGTGTTCTGTTTATGGGGCAATTTTTTCCTTCTAAAAAGTGGAATCAACAACTAAGCTGTTGCTCATCTTGAGACTTTTGAAATAAATAGGGCATGTGAACAAATTAATCACCATCATATTAATAGGTTAAAAGAAATCAAACACTTTAAAGTATGGAGTAAACAACTTTGAGAGTACTTTGCGATTCTTTTTCAGCAAGGCTCCACTTTACGATGTTCCTATGTATTGTAAATCATAAGATAACTAGTTATGATTATGGTAATAAAAATACAGGTATCAGACCCATAGAGGTTATATTTTTATAGGACCAACTGAAATAGCAAATGGTTCAGGTTGCTGAATTTCAGGAATTCAACAGGCGCATTTGTTAAAAGGATAGGGGGAAAGAGGCTGATAATGAAGCCATACCAGTATCAGCTTAACTTGTTGGATGGACTGATTGTGAGCCTTCTACCATGTAAATTAGGGTTTAAGAAATCAAATTGTGGTTGCAATAAAGACTCATATAAAGTTTGCTGGAAACAAACAATAAATATAATTCCCCCATTTTGGGAAATAAAACAAACAATAAATATAATTCCCCCATTTTGGGAAATATAAATTCAACTAGTCAAAAACGCTTCCATTTTGAATTTTTTTCCTTCTTAGTAGCAACAGCAATAGCACTTAGACTTATATACCACTTCACAGTGCTTTGCAGTCCTCTAAGTGGTTTACAGATATTGCCCCCAACGATCTGGGTCCTCCTGAATTTTATTTCCTGGCTTTGAATGGACCAAGGAACTGCTTCTAGGAAATCAAGCATAATGTATATTCACAGCTAATCAAATTAGAGTAGCCACTTAAAAGAAAATGTAAATTACAATAGTTACTTTAAACAAAGTAATGCAAACTGTAATTTAGTTTGCAATAATTATGTGCCATCAAGTCATTTTTGACTCCTAGCCACATAGAAAGATTTTCGCCATGAAAATGTCTTATGATACAGTAATATCATTGATATAACCTCTCAGAAGAGTATGCATAAGATTGCAATTTTAATGACTATATATACTACAGTCCTATAACTTTTAAGTAAGAGAAACGATTGTTCAGCTATTTTGGGGACCAAGTAGCTGGCCTTATTGGAATGTTCTTTGTGTTAAGAAAGGGATATCATGATAGTTCAAATTAATGAACAGAATTAAGATCTCTGTTCCATAAGCGGTCCTGTAGTTGATTGGAATATTAATTCTAAATGTCTCTTACTGTTCCAAAACAGCAGAATGTATACATGCTTAAGGGCATAAAGTAAAAACACAGCCAATGTAATCATTATTGGCTTAATTCCCTTTTACCAAGTGTCTGTCCAAAATGAAGATGGGCTGGCATTGATGTTGGAAAATGCTTGGCCTTTAACGCATTTCTCAGATCAGAGGCTGTGATTGCCTCTTCAAGTGCCCCTGACCTTCATAAGCATTATGCTGCTAATATTGCAATAACAATGTTAGTAAATCCTGATAATCAAATTGAGATGAAGAGATAATTTACAGTATAGTAAATGCAAAGGCATTTTCAGATTTTCATTACATTTGCATAATTTTACATGATCAGAATTAACTAATTCTAAATGATATTATTATATACTTGTGAGAATTTTTGAAATGGGAAGGTGAGATGAATATAATAAGTAATAACATTAAGTTA